TTTTCCCCCCAGGAGTGGGGGCCCGGCCCCCTGCATGGATCCGCCACTGATATACTTCCCCTCACACACAACTGTCCTTTTCAATCGACATTAACCCACTCCGATATTTCATTAATCTAAAAAAAGGTATCAAGGACTTTCAACAAATCTACCGCAGTTTGTTAACCTTGCATGTCATGTCACCAAGAGTTCAATCAGTATGACATGCAGGTGACACGTTACGTAATACGGACATGATTTCTCACTAGTGGCAAAATGACAGGGTATATTGAAATTGCTAAGTTGATTTCTTGTAAGTCCTCGCGATCGTATTATACCTGCATATTTGCAATTTCATTGATGATTTCAACGGAGTGCCCAATTACTGTCCAGGTGTCATTTGTAATTTCCATAGATTGTCGATGGCTGGGGGGTGTAACTTTTCATACACGAAACGGTTCTTCAAATTTCATTGCAGTTATTGTAGTGGGCTCATATATTAGGCACCAAGATGATTTGGGAATATGATGTCTATTTTGTGAATATGAAACGATACAAGAAAAGAAAATGTAAGAGAAGATAAAGTAAACTAATATAAGGAGAGTAGACAATAATGCGACAGGGAAAAAATACGAAGGCATGGAGGAAAACTGAAACAGAGAAGTATGAAGAAAGCAATAGGGAAATAAATGACATTGACCATTTGAAAAATCAAAGTTTTTCTGATAAAATTATGGACTTTTATTTCTTTCCAAGATGGGAGAAACACAGACAGAAAGAAATACAAAGGGGAGGGAAGATATAGAGAGGAAGGGAGGAGAGAGAGAGAGAGAGAGAGAGAGAGAGAGAGAGAGAGAGAGAGAGAAGGTGATAGTGAGAGAGACACAGACAGAAAGAAATACAAAGGGGGGGGGGGGGAGAGATAGAGAACTAAACGGACGGACAGAGACAGATACAGACAGACATTACAATGAGAGTATTACTCTCATTTACTAAATGAGATTTGGTGAGAGAATGATTTTAGATGGACAACAGGATGGCTTTAAGAAGCAGTCTCAGATACGGATTTGTTGATACAACATTTCAAGTTTTTATTGGGGTTAATAGGCTTAATCATTCATCAAGTCTGTCACAATAATTTGGCAATATATATCATAATAAAAAAATGGGATATTTCTGTAGAATGATTGACAAATAAAATGAAGTGCTCTATGATATATCTGCTAGGTCTAATAGATGCAAAATAATGAGCAATCACTACCAAGCTAAATGTGTGATTACTAAAAGTGCTCACTGCTTCAGAAACAAAATATAGTTATTCCATTTTTTTTTTTTACCTCAAAACTTGAGCCGTAGGTATAAAGGCAGAACAAACGCACACAAAAGATTAATATTACAGCAACATAATATGTCAGAAATCTTTCTCACAGAACAAGATAAGAAAATAACTCCATTAAACCATAAATGACATGCTAACATTCAATTTCAGGAAAGATAAAGAAATCATATAATATATGTTACTACAAAAATATATCTAATAATAGTTGTATGATAATAATTATGTTTCTGATCAAATAAAATGATTTTGATTTTGAATACACGTAGACTTTTGTTAAAGCAAGTTTCAACATGAATAGTCACTACTGTACAAGTGTAAATCACACATAAAATTAAAATTACAAAGAGACTTTACTATGAATTGAAAACAGCTACATAACAAGTACCTTCTGTTTGAGAAGTCAATATTTCTTATAAAAAACAAAGGAGATATATGAGAAACAGTGATAGTCCATGCTTACAGTAGAAACATAATAGTTCATCAATGATATTGATATATATCCAAAGATACATCTGTAGATGTAATAGACTTGGGATGTGTTTATGTTGATGAATCAACAAAGATCAGGTGGATGATGTGCCCAAGATCTCTTAATTTACAAGAACTAGAATAAAATATCAAAATAAGATCAAATTATGAGTTCAATATGAGATAACATAAAGCAAATCAAAATGCATGACAAACAATAAAAGTCAGACTGGTTATAAAGGTTTAGTAGTTCACACAATTTTTATAGGATTATGTCAATCCTCATTAACATTATCAAGGGAAATAAATGCAATCCACATAACTGCATAAGCAAAAACGTTATGGTAAGACAGATACCATAGTATGTTCAACCATAATAGAAATCAATTTAAAAAAAAAAACTTTTAAATTACGAAGGGAAACAAAAACTGCAATGTGCATAAATCTTACACAATGAAATTTTCAAGCTGAATTAAAATGTGCTGAGAAAATTGATTTTCTTAATAAACACAACTTTCAATTGTGTTGAAAAAAAATTCCTGAAGTTTTGACTTTCATTTTCCTTGTGCCATTCATAAAACTTGGGTCAAAATGGAGGATTGATGTTGCATTACAGCCCCCCCCCCCCCCACTACCAAAGGTGAATATGAATTGTTACCAGCACCACTGTACTCTACACTCACTGTTGTTTTCTGAACTGCTTCTTGACCGACTCCAAGGAGGGTCAAGTGCTAAGTGACCCAAGCACCGGATGTAGATTACCCATAATATAATATAAATGTTATGTTATACAATATGAGGTATCGGCCTTTCCCAGTGTGATCAAAATAATTCCTTGTATGTTTTACAAAATGATGGCAGGAAAGAAATCAGACAGTTTATAAGGCATGTCCTTGTGCGCAAACCACAGAAACAAACGTGTATGTCAGATACGACATGCTTTCAAATCCTTATATATGTAAAGTTACATTGAGACCTCGGCCATAAGCATGAAAAGGGTATAGCTGTTCTAATTTTTATTACCTGATTATGTAAAAAGCTCCTATAAAGGATAATTCATAAAAAGTTAATATCTGAAAAATCATTCCTGTTGTGACCAGAAAGTTGTAACCATTTGGATTAACAAAGCAAAGTTTTAAATTATGAACAATAATATACATACTTAAACTAAGGTAGAAAAGGATATTTTTCAAAGAAATAGGTAATTACAAGTACAGATACATATACTAAAACTTAACTGGAATATGATGATGCACACTGTATTATGGTAAATCTAAAACTTGTTATAAGCATGGAATAACCTCTCAAGAGCTCTATATTCAGATTTACCTGGTTATGAAATAAGTGCTTGTTCACTCTGTATAAAAAAAAGTTATTTTGTAAGTTGATATACATGAAGCTTTCTATCAAAGCAGGCTTACAGGCAAAAACTAAGAATCTCCCAGCATATCAATCAAACAAACTAACCCAAAGTACATACAAGGGTCTACAGGCCAGCATTCAACAAATCAAAGTAACAGACATTTTTTTTAGCTCACGCGAACTGGGAAATATATCACCGAGTATCCTCTCTCTTTCAATGACAATTTATACAAACGCTATACATGAGACAGTTTCACAGTTGGAATGTCACTTATGAGAAGAGTTCATTCTTATCTAGATTAACCCCTTGAATTCAGAGCAGAAGAAAAGAGGAGGGGGAAAAAGGACTCGGTCATGCTTAAGGACGAATCCACAATCTCTACACCTGTTGTTCTATGTACATTTATACAGCTTTGCATATACAGCACTTGACTTTATATTATTATTAAGATATATTAATTGAATAGCATTGTTCTATCAAATTACATATACAACCAATAGTAAGGTGACAGTGAGAACAATATACCACTATTTTAATTATCCACTCACCAAAAATTGTCAAAATTCATCAAGCATTTACAGTGAGAAAATGAGAAATCCATCACTCACTCATATTTATACACTAGGTATGTAGTAAAACTAACATGCAATCTTGCTATAAGAACTCATTAAAGGTGATATCTTACAATGGTGACGTGTGTCTCACTATCCTCTCTCTCTCCCTCCCTCTCTTCATCTCTCCATCAATCTCTCTCTCTCTCTCTCTCACTCTCTCTCACTTTCCTCTCATCATACAAAGTTTACACACTCAATGTTTTTCTTCTAATCATTCATATATACAGTATCATCATTAATGCATATAATATATCAACCGTCTTTACTCAACAGTTGTCCTAAAGAATAAAATATATTTACATATTATCAATGACATTATGATCCTTATCAACAATCTCTCTTTCCTTTCCAAACATCATACATATCATCTTAAACAAAGGCCAAAAAAAGAAGAAAAAATCTACAGATTTTAAATATCTGAAATCTTTAACTAATGGCCCTTTGGGTATATAATAGCAATTCAAATCAACTAAGACAAATTTATGCGAAAAAAAAACAGTAGCTAAAATGTTCCCCAAAAGTTAAAGGAACACCAAGCCTCTTCTAAGATTGTCATTTTGTCCTCATCAATCTGAAAAGTCTGCCTGTAAACGTGATATCTTACGTGGAATTGTGGTAGACATCATATGTGAAGGCATCTCAGACTACTGGCATACATCATCATAGTAACATGCTTATTCTCCAAGACTCTCAAGTACTTCATATCTCAAATTATTGAGGTTCGGTTCAAAACAGCATTCCTAGTGAAAACAACTTGTAATTTTATCAGTTGTTCACTTATTCAAATCCAAAGAAATAATTGGCAGTAGGGCAAAACAAAAATTACTTTGCATCCAAAGATGGCAGTTTCAATATGCAGTAATAAAGCAAAAGGTATTTCTTTGAAGGCTTTGGAGAAGACAAAAGGAAAACATCTCTTTCTCCTTGCCTCCCATTTCTCAAGCATGAACCTGGATTTTCCTTTGCCAGAAGAGTCCCAAGGCCATTGATATGATGTAAGTTCAGCCAGCTTCACTTCTGGCATTTATTATCAGATGAAGGATATTGAAGAACATGGAGGACCGTTCTTACATATCTTTGGAAATTGTTGTTTAAGAAAACATAACCCTGTAGTAAAGTCTTCTACCACATTTGTTTCAAAGTGAAATACATCCGATGAAAAACATCATATTTTAAAGATTTTCATATGACAAGGTAGTCAGTCTGACCTTTAGAATGTCCTTTCATACAAGTTGTCCATTTTAAATAACAGAATACCCCTCACTCAGAAAAAAAAGGAAATTAAGTGCATTTCACTCCAAAAAATGATTGAAAATGTGTAAAACCAAGAAATTGTTTTCTTTCTTTTTTAATTCATGTACGAAATTATTTTCTTAACATGCCAGGTATCATCTTTCAATATGCCCAGAAAATGACTTCATATCATGACTATGATTATCTGTCCCTTGCATGACATCACGATGTAGCTTCTCAATCAGTCAAGATGACTCTAACTGTCTACGTATTCAGTCTCTGATGATCCCCTATCCCAACGTGATCCCTCGCGCACTTGGCTTGTGCGTATAACTGGGCGAGGGCGATCTTCAGTGTCACTGTATTATCGCTTGGACGTAGTTCTCTGGTACGAGTCCCGTCTTGCCGTTCAGCGTACCAAGTAACCAGCCTCTTTCCTTGGATGACCGTACTGTAGTGAGAGACAGATAACATCATTATCTTTCACATGTGAACTGGTTCATAATGTGCTGCAACACATGCTCTGGCAAGAGTAGCTTCAAGCTATATACAGTAGGTATACAACTCAATTATGCATACCTTTACCAAGTTTTGTAATTTTTAATTATACAGAAAATTATTTTTCCTGCTTTATGTTCATCGTAAAGATTACGACATCTAAAAGTGCTCAACAAAGGCCCTCATTAAAACCATCCACCTTTCGTTCTTGCGTTACGATAAAACACAAAAAACATCAAAGTTACAAGGCGTATGAATAGTATATATGTTTTTCTTCAAATATTATGATCGAGTTTGAGGCTAGGTGTAGGGTTAGAATTATGTTCTTGTACAGTGTTTGGTCCAGGGTTGAAGTTAAGAGTTTGGCTGGTATAGGATATTGACCAGGGATTAACTACAGCTGGAGCATGTGTCATATAGGGATTGGTAAAGTTATTAGGACATGTTTATTGAGACCCCTATATACAGCCTGCAGTAAAATCACAGCCTTATTCCCTATCTTTGATGCAATATTCTGCTGAGAAGCAGAAGGGAGTTAGCTCAAAGTGAAAAGATAACCTTAACTCCTTCTGGCACTCACTAAACAATATAGTACCATATAACATCTAGAAGATACATAAATTGTATGCTTGGTACAAAGTTGGATGATTCCTAAAGGTTAAGTCTCCCTTGCTAATGCAGTCTGCTGGGCATATGATATCTTAAAATTACCAAAGCAATAATATGAAACTTAAGTCTACAAATAAAGGAACTGATATAACAAAGAATATATGAACACATTTGATACAACATAAAATGGTGTATTACCATATGGGTTTTTGTTGTTATTGGCGTGCTTTATGTCCCTCTAAACAGAATGGATAGAAAATTCTAAACTTACCATTGACTATGATCTGGTTCGGTTGAAAAGATAGTTCAGACTCATTATCAGCATCACATGCGTATAAAGTCCGCACGCATATTCCCCTAGAAAGAACACATAGATGGAAAATAAGCTTAGGTTCATATCATTTACAGAAAGTGATAATATACCAGAGGAATAAAAAGAAAACATATCACAGCTCAATAAAATTATACATCATGATTTGGAGTATTTAACCCATATGTTTTCAATATTTATGTGTAATCTGAAATATATTTCATAATATATATTTTCCAAACTGATTGTGTATATCAACAGACACATTCAGATATAAAGCATGTTGACTATTTTTATTTCACATTATGTTTATATTCATGAAACAGAGTAGGCATGTTCATTCCCAAAGGTTTGCTGACATTTCATCAATATGATTTGATGACAAAACAATATCTCTGAGTAGTACTTTTCAAGCACAAAAGTTCTATCTCTGCTTAAGGGAAGCGGTGCAAATTCATTCAAAAAAGAATTCTAATCATCCAACTATTGCTTTCTCCTTCTCTTTTTTTTTTTTTTTTTTTTTTTGGGGGGGGGGGCCGATATTTCAACTTTTAGGATGCAAAACTATGGGGGGTGGGGACTGCTGGTTAAAAGAGGTTGATAATGGTTTTTAGTAATAAAGCTTTGAATGATACAATGATTTCTGAATAAAAAGAGGATCAGGGTTGCTACTTTAGAATTGGTAGGATGAATTCCAACTTGTTTTATTGCATTTTGCACTTTTTGTGGAAGGCGTGGGGAGAAATTTGTGTTTGTTTGTTAAAGCAATACTGAACTGATGAACTTTATGCCCTAGTATGCTGCTTATTGCACAGTGCCAGCTCATAGTTAACTTGCCTACATTGTGTAACCCACTGAACTCAACACTACATAAGTGTCAAATTCAGTGGTACCAACAGAGCAGTGAGTTATGGAACCATAATGCTACAGCTGACATGAGATGGCGCCAGAGGAAGTGCTTCTAGTACAGTATGGCTTTAAGTAATGCTCCCCCCCCCCCCCCCTATGGGATCATGCATGATCTTGTGATTAAGATAAGTCCATACTAACTTCTTGCCCACAGAGTCGTAAATGGACTGATCACCAGGGGTTCCTTTGGATGCTGCTGGTCCAGTGCTACGCCTGTTAAAGGGCACCATGTGATGAGCACAGCAAAAAAGTGAAAGTGTGATGTGGTTAGTTCCAGAAACAGCAACAAAAATGAAACTAAAATGACTCAAACCCAAATGATGGCAATTTGCTTAGTGTCTGAATGAACTAGATCTATTGAAATTGTGTTTACAGGCTAATCATATTAACCCTTAGCTTACGGGAACCTGGTTGTCTCTGGTATGGGAACTATAAAATTCAATAATCAATGGGTAAAGTGAGGATATCTATATGAAAACTTCACATTAAAACTACAAAATTCAAAACACATTAATCGTTTAACAGACTAGTTTACTATTGTGTTCAAAGTTAAGGACGATTCTTTCAAGAATGAGTGTTCCCGTCACCCCAACCTACTACACATGTATTAGGAGTTGCTATGTTAGGCAAGATTTGGGGAAGTTTTTAGCTCATCAAAAGCAACTTTTGAATACATTAGTAAACTGATCGATCAAAAAGTTAACTAAGGTAAAATGAGAAAAAAAAAACAATCAAGAACATAAGATTTGGAACTTTATATGGCACATGTGTTCTCTTCTTCTCTTCATGCAAATGGAAACATTAAATTATAAAGAATTTAGATAATGGAGTACTACAGAGATGACAGTAATAATAAGCATTAACTGAAATATGTCATACCAGTACTTTTTTTAAATTCTGGTTTAGATTTGATTGTAATTGAAACAAAATTGTTAATGGAAAATAATCATAGCAAAAAAACTTGATAAATTACTAGATGCAACCACCAATAATTATCTAAATAAAAAATAACATTACAGTATATAATTAGAATACTACAAATTTGTAAACTGTGCATTATTAGGTGATATTAAAGAGGAAACAGTGCGATGAAGACAGAGATAGAAAGGAAACTCTGGAGAGTTGTGTAGTAACAGACTAACAGACAGACAAAGAGACAGATACATAGATAGAGGGAGAGAGAGAGGTAGGGAGACAAAGAGAGAGAGAGAGGGAGACAAAGAATAAGAGAGACAGAGAGAGAGACACAGAGAGAGCGACAGAGAGAGAAAGAGACAGAGAGTAAGCAAAAGGAAGAAAATTGAAATGAAATACTTTTGCAGAAGAGGAGAAAAATATAATATCCCATGATTCCAAAATATGACTATTAAGAAAATTACAAGCTTGGAAGATATTATATTGTTATTTGGGAATGTTATAAATATACTGTATGAAAGGAACAAGAAACAGAAAGTGACTACTATACATGGCTTTACATTCGCTAATAACATGAAGTCAAACCATAAACCGATTTCAAACCATAAACCTATTTCAAACCAAGAAAGAAACTATACAAGAAAACTGATCAGGCTACCTATTAATAAAGCAAACTTCAATATCATAACACAAGACATGAAAGACTATACACGGATGAGATCTGTATTGGTGTCTATGGAACTGTAATATGGATCTACATGTTTTGGGACCAGAGTTGCACAATATGGGCATTTACCGGCACAGAGAAAGATTTATGATACTTAGGTCTTTTAATATATGTTGGCATATACATTTTAAAGCTAATCTAATAATTTGAGCACTGCTTTACTCCATATAACCTAAACCAAAGTCATAAAACATTAATAAGAATTTTGAATGCTCTATTTAAGAGTAGACCTTGCATTGCTTTATATGCTAATATTTCTAAACAAATCTATAAATGTGAATTCTTTTACCATCTATATGATCTCAAGCAATGTGCCAAACTAGCAAAATAAAACCTTTCTTTGACAGTTCAAACTACAGGAAAAAATTGACTTATGTTTCCCCAATCTAATTTACAATTCCACTAACATTAGTTTATGAACTATGTATCAAAATGAATTGGATATTGTTAGACGTGAACAAAATAATATCGGATAGAAACCTCTGATGTAAAGTTGTGTAAGGTGTCCAGTTATTTATGTATGAATATATTAGTGGCATGAATGTTTTAGTATGACGTGTAACATGAAAACGTTGTTAGTATCAGAAAGCAGACATGCAAACAGAATTCTAGTTTGAGTCATCTTGCCATAGGGCAAGGATAATTAACGTACTGTGATGATGATGATGCGCTTGAACTAGATGATTCACTCTTAGATCTTATTGGTCCTTCATGATTGTCCCTGCATGAGATTAACCAATAGCAGATGAGCTTATAAAGGAGAGAGCAGCTTTGCTCGATGTTGGTTAGGCATACAGAAGAGCATGTGAGATTAGGCAGTAATATAATAGCATATGAAGTTAGATGAAAAGCCTTTCCACCAGCTAAAGTATACAATGTGGTTGTTCTTATTCAATTTCAAATTAACTAAAAGACTTGAAAATCATGACTGATTGTTAAGATATAAATTCTGACTAAAAACTGCACATTATTGATTACTTCATGAATTGATGGATTCATTATATTGGTCTTGCACTATTTGTACAACTTTGATTACTTTGACAGACTGATAAATTGATCTAATTAAATGAATGACTATTGATTAACTGAGTGACTGATTGATAGGTTCATGACAAAAGTGAGCGGTTATGCATGTATGAACTGACTGTTCTCATAAACCCTACGGTACCCTGCATGAATGATGACACAAATCTGTAATGCTCTTGATGATTTTGTTTCCTGTTTATCATCATATCATCTTCCTTTTTGATAGTCTTTACATCTCATTCGATAAAGCCTTTACAAGCCGTCTATTTCATACAAATACTTATTTATGGAATATCTTCAAGGTCAGTTCCCTACCCTTTCCCAAAGTCAATCCTATCAACAGGTAATCCTGACTGCCGGCATAGTTAGCTTTGTTGACTGGAGAGAAAAAATGAAACTCAATATTCTTAGGAACTTTCTCTATCTTTATCCTCAAAATAACAAATTTCCCTAATGATGCATTGAGAAAACCCAAGAGATAAGCATGTACATGTTTCTGTTGAGAGAATTTTTAATGCATGGATTGTTCAGTTAATCAGGATAATTAGAAGAGGTTATGGTTTGAACATAAACTGATTACTTACACTTCATCCGCTCTTGCTAACGGAGGTCTTGATATCGGTGCCCCTGTAGGGTAAGAATTCATTGGATAATAATAGTTAGAAAATGAAATTATTCACACAAAAATGTCCTGATTTGCAATTTTAGAGAGAAAAAACAGTGTATCTGTATCATTACTATAATGGAATGACAAATCCTTATTATATAGATGATGATATTTGGAGGAAAGTTTGTATGAACAGAAAAAGATTATTATTTGTTCTGATTGGTAATTCTTAAATTTTTCAGCACTGTGACCACCAAATTCATGACTCACTTGACAGTAATGAGGAACTTGTAACAGTTTATCTATTTCAGTCATTACCTCTAAACTGCTCATCCAAAGCTTGATTTTCACAGATGAGAGTATTTATACAAAGAAATTTCTTCATTTGAATGTTTGCAATGGTATATCAAGTATCACCTTATAGTGCAAATATTACCTCTTAAATGTGCTTTATCTTTAGAATCAATACACACTGATTACATAACAGGGTAACATATTTGAAGAAAGATTCTGAATCAATAAAATGAAACAAAAAACTATAATGATAAAGAAAGAGAAGTATAAAATGTAAAAGTACTAAGAAGAAATGTGCCAGTTTATATACAACATGAACACTTTGTGATGAATTTGATTAAGCTTACATAGGAGTATACAACCCCTCACCATGAGTAATATTGATATAATAGTTTAATGGATGTTGAAATGCATGCATATCAATTCAACTAAAATGGGATTTGATCAATCAGCAGTTTATCATTTTTTAAGAATAGTTTTTTAATACATTGAACAAACGGATACAAATGATGAAAGGAAATGAATATGGTGTCTGAAGAAGGTTTATAATAATAATTGATGATAGTTTGGTGAAGAAACATACATTCACAAATACACAATAACAAGTTATAGACTGTGAGATGAAACACAAACTGATAGATGACACATTTTACAGATATACAAATTGAGTTGGAGACAATGTCAATATAATGCAACTTCTATTACAAGATCATTTATCGTGATGAAATTTAGAGATTCGACACTAAAGCTAGCTCAACAATACTAGAACGAGAAAGCACACCTAAAACATATCAATACAGAAATCAATGGCACGGTGAAAGTTGACAAGACATAGTGCGAAGAACACTCTCCATACAGGGAGAAATATTTAACAGCTCTGGTGGGTATTAAACAATCTTTAGTTTTTGCCTGTTCGTATGTAACACAAGTGAGCAGCAAATATATTATGATTGATTTCGCACAATCCTCGAATCATCTAAATCTATTCACATATTGTAGAGTAGAATCCTCAGAAAAGCATTTTGCGTGAAGAGAACAGAAAAAGAATTTAAATCTAATAAGACATTCCTGGGTGGCAAAGGATATCACAGCTACTGGCTATGACACCATTTTGACTTTAACAAAAAAACTCTGGACTGCAACTAATATTTACTCCCCATTTTCTTTTTCTTTTCACAAGCAGCCACAACTAGATGACTAGAAAATCAGTGTAAAATAAAATCTAATAAAACATCCCAGATGCTAGATTACAGGGTCAGGGTAGACGAATACCCAATCATGAAGAAGGAATAATGATCTAAATCTATTTCTCAAAAGATATATATCAATGAAAAATATAATGGTACATATTTTGTGTGTCTGTATATGAACACAAAAAGGGTAATGTTTGTCAAATTAAAGTAAATTTATGGGTGTGGGCTACAAGTTCTGACTAATGAAATAAAATCATCAAAACAAAACGAAGACAGTGGTGGGAAAACTATACTACACTGTGACCAACAGACTTTCAAACATGTTCACAATTGAAGGGGTGGTTACGTTATAGTGTGTTGATCAATTTTTAGTTTATTTTTGGCAGATTTACAATAAACAATTTGGCCAGTTTTCGATACACATAGTATACTATTGAAAGCAAAAGGCAAAATGCAACTAGGGCCCCAGCATTAATGTGTCTGTTTAATTTGTTCTAATTATTCCTAGAAATATAGCCATTAGATCTCTGACTCCCATGGACAATATACACCAACAAATGTTGATTTTTATATTTGGTATTTTAAATATCATATTTTTGATAGGAGGGAGTGAATTGGTCACAATGATCAGATAAACTCAACTTTAAGCATGCAAACTACACTTGTCCTCCCCAACTGGTAAGACCAAGTCTATTTATGGCAGATACAGAAGTAAAAATAAAAACATGAATTTCTTTTATACTAAGAATATGCTAAGATGTCCATATTGTGTCACAGTGAACTAACACAGTATCAACAACACACATGGATATAGCAAAAATAAAGTACAATGAACTGAAGATATAGTAGAGTACTGTCCTCACTGGCCAACAGACTTTTCTCAATCACATTTTGCATGATGCACACAACTTAAAACATAGGACCATTATCTTATTATATGTAGAAGTTATGGTTGCAAGTCATAGCTGTGTGCAATACATGCAAAATAAATAAATAGATAAGGAGAAAACTCTGTAGCCTTGGGAACAAGCCCCAAGATATAGATGTCCAGCACACAAGGTGTATACACAATGTCAAGACAAAAGATCAAGGTATAAAAACAATCTACATCTAGGCGTGGCCTGTGAGATAATGAGCAAGGAGGCGGGCGGGTGGGTGTGACGTCCGTCTCCATGGTGAAGCATTTGTTACCTGTTCGTGGGAGCTCAGAGGGTGAACGAAACGTTCTTAGGGGGCTAGTCCGGTCCTCATCCATACTTTGGGGAGGGCTTTTGCCTGATTCATCATCAGAGGGGTTATAAGGTTAGGTTAGAAGAAAGATCAAAAACATTTCAATAGAGCAAGTTGAACTTACTAAATCCTACATTCCTAGTCAATCATGAGAGATTAAAACTGATTCTCGTGGTCTGGGAATTCCTAACGACTTGCAAACAGCCTTCTACGACCCTCACGTCATCTCAAATCTATTTGTATAGAAAGTTTCATATAGAATATGAATTGCCACGAAGATTGCTATAAAAATAAATGTTGTGTGAGATTGAAATCTACATGAGGACACTGGTGTTTTGAGATCATGGCGATGGAATTTTGAGGATTAAATTGAAAATATTCCTAATTTCAGATAAATTTATTGAAAGAATAGAAAAAAAATTAATTAGAGAGTGCATGTTTAATATCAATTACTGTGTTTCTTACAGGGGCTTTGCAAGTATGACTTATAATAATATGTATTCATGGTTATTTCCACCAGAAACAGATACTTAGATGTACAATGGCTGTCATATTAAAATGAAGTTCATTTCTTGTTTCTTGATTAATTAAAAATTTACTAACAATACCTAGAAGGAAAGTTAGCACATTATCTAAAAGGGACTATACTTTTTCAAAATTTATGTTCAGGGGCGAAGAAAATTATGATTGGAAAAAAAAATCATGAAACAATTCATTTTAGTACAACAATCTTAGCATTGATAAGTACCTATTTCTTGATAATTGCTCAATGTACCAAAGTGATTTTGTTTTCCTATCCATCTCAGTCTAAAGTAATTTAAAATGGAATCAGTGAACATCATGTACAAATGCTATTATTAAAAAAATTGAACCATACTGTATAAATCAAATAAATGATGTGTATGTCATAAAAACAAGAAGTAATGCTACAAAACAGACTTTTACTTTTAAATATCAACTATCACAAATTCTACACATAAAAGCGTGATGTTACAAAAATCACTAAAAAGAATAAACAAATAAAAATAAGACAAATAAAGAAACGCAAAGATATAAATGTTACTACCTTTAGACACAATTTGTTTTTTATAATTTGAAATTATGATTTGTATTTCAATAGTTGTGAAGAAACCATATCTAGTTTTGTAAATTTATTATGTGAATGATTATTTTCTTCAGACAAAATGGCTGCATGAGATCATAATGAAGTGTTCATCTTTTAGGTTATGCAGAAGACACAATGTCTTGTCAAAAACACACCCTACTGATAAATCATATACCAAACCAATGAAGTGCATTGAAGGGGTTCTAACATTTTGAAAATATATCATGAAGTATCGAAACATGTTTTTTTAGCAACATGAAATTACTTCTTGCTAAAGAAAATTCCTGAAATTCTGTTCCGATTAATTGTATTTGCACTCAAAGCATTAAGTAGTTTACCAAGCCTAATTGAGTGGTGATTTATATTGGTGTTTATTTCTCTATCAACAACTGGGACTTATGTATGACTCTGTATGCCTAAAAATAACAGCTTAGAGTAAATGCCAAAAGTCTACAGCTTTTTTTTTTTCCTGTATCATTTCAGAGCTAAATTTGATTTTGGTTTGTGTTTAAGGTAACTATCACACTACTGAACACAGATGACACAAGGAAAAATAAAGTACAAAAATTAAAAAATAAATGAAATAAATTGAGGAGAACAGAGAAAATTAATGTCATAGGGAAAAACTATTAACTACATGTAATTCTCAAAAGCTGGAAATAAAAAAGACCACCATATGGAGTATGTCGTTACATTTTTTTAAAGGGCATCATCTTTCAAGAAAACCTGCAAGAGGATATTACAGTCAGTGATAAATATAAAATTATGGTTTTGATTCTAAATTTCTTTTCTCACTGAGCTGTATAAGTACTTCCTAGCATAAACAATTTTTTACAAAGAAGCTGTGAATCTACAACTTATTATATATTCCATGACTAAAGCGAAAAAATTTGTTGTTAAGGGAAAGTTGGATAATGTCATTATTAAACAGTAACTTCATATGGGATTTTATTTATTCATTTTTTGTTTTGAATGCAATATTTTATACCAGCTAGATGGCATATTTTCTCATGAATTCTACATTAACTTATTGGATAGAAATCAAAAAGGGCAGTGGTTCTATAAAAAACAATTGAGAAAATTTGAAGAAACTTCTATCCAATAGTGTAGTGTGAATGACTGATATCAAAGAACGCTTTCTCATTGCTACTTTGCAAAGAAGACGACTTATGGTATATAATGTGTACAGAAAAAAAAACTGAATTCCATAAAAATGAAAATACCTTTCACAGTCATTCATCTAGTTTACCTAAAATTATGAAAACCATAATTTTTCATCGAAAAATCCATAATTTTTCATCGAGAAATCTGTACTTTCTCATCAACAAATCCACCGCTAAGGTCCTTAATACGTCATTTGTACAACCCCAACTATTCCCTATATATATTTGGTTTCGATGGAAGCATTTTCAAACTTAAGAACACGGCCACATACAGAAGACAACCAACAACAAAAAAGGAGATAATAAAATAGTTCATCAGGGAAATAAAAATACACAGATCGTAACTGTAGAGAAAAGTAATGCAGCACATACTGACCGTAATAATCAAAATCATAAAATAAAAGTGGACCAAACTAAATCCAATGACAGCGGACAGTAAGAAGAGAAAAAAAGCATAGTACATCCATAATTTCCTTTTAGAAAGAAGCAGTCATAATAAGCATGCGGGTGGGTTTCTTACGACGACACCAAACAGTGAGATTTACCATGGTATGTGTGATACTTTGGATACTTCCTCATTTGTATTGACCTCCAAAAGACTTTGAGAGATGGAGAGGAAAGATGGATGCAATGTTAGTATGGGATAGACTGACTGACTTGTTGGTAGACAAACCTCATCAGCATCATTTATTACTACATCTATGACAATCAAGGGGTGGAATTAATGATGGAATGGATGGTGGTATGGGAAGAAGATGATGATGATGAGAAGGGATGATGATGAGAAGGGATGTTGATGATGAGAAGGGGTGGAATGGGAAGATGATGATGATGATGAGGGGGTAAAGCTGGTAACGCTTTATAGTTGATGGGGACTCCTCTTGCAGTTGCTATCTTTCAATGACGATCATGAAGCATTGACTTTGAGAAGTAGTGATGATTACAATGGGTGGGTGATTTCTTTGATTGGGACGACAAGGACAGTGTTATGGTATTGCCTGACGATAATGATGATGATGATAATGAAGTAGATGATGATAATGATGACAGCGATAATGATGATAATGATAAGGTAGAGGTTGAAAAGAAAAAAGAGGGTTCTTATAAAGTTTTATGAGAAACGATATGAAAATGAGGGTAGGATAGGTAGGATAGGTAGGAACTTTTGGCATAATGTTTGTAATAATATTTATTTTTAACAAATAGACCACTGGAAAAAAAGAAAAAATCATTGTTCAAAATGCTGGCAATTTAAAGATGAGATGGATGAAATCAAACCTAGAGATGATGGTAAAGACAGTGAGGGGCTGATAACAAGATGATGAAGGTAAACAGAAAACAGAAGAAGATAATTTAGGGTGATATTGATGATAGTGGCAGTATACTTGGCAAGACAAAGGTGACAAAATGAAAGACAGAACGAAAGAGACGAGAGAGAGAGAGAGAGAGAGAGAGGGAGGGAGAGAGAGAGAGATAGAGAGAGAGGGAGAGAGGATGCAAGTCTGAGGATCACCAAACCACTAGAGAATAGTTATGACGATGATAATGATGAAGATGAAAAGACACATACAGAGAAGAATTAGAGGGGAAATGATATGATATTAATAACAGATAAAAATATATTAATATAATGAATAATAGATTCTCAAAGACATAGGGATAATCAATAAAAAGTTCAGGATGTAAAGTTCAAATAAACATTAAATATAATCTAGCATAGATGCAGATATCTTTCCTGTTCACATGGCACTTCATAACACAAAAATTCTCTTACTGTCAGATATTAAAAAAGATGATGAAATAACAGCATGTTCATATTTCTATATCCGATAAGAAAATTAACCTAACAATCTGCAGATACTAAAGTGAAACTCATCAATCCATAGACATCATCAAGCAATCTTCCAAGTACAACAACCTTGTCCTTGACGTTCATTTCTTTTTATAATGAGCTGTTATGACATCAAGAGTATCATGACCGACTCATTGACCCCAAAGTTTTCGAACAGGAAAAAAATAGGGGCTTTTCCCTCCTCTGGTGATACCTATAATTTTCTTTCTATGGATTTGAAAACAGATTCTTGCAGATATATTTAAAGATCAAATGGATCAAAATCCAGAACGTAGATGTCTTTCACCTACGGGCGACCACATGACCGATATTATTCAAATACCGGTACAAACAATTATGAAACACACTTCCAAGAACAGATTCTGTTTGTTGAAACCTACAAACACTGCAGACATGACCCTAACTAAAAACCCAACGTGTACTGATACCTCCTCTCTCCCACCTACCTTCATACCCAAATATATCATTCGGATCAAGAACTTGGATATATAACTTTAAAAATTGCTCAGAATCTATGCGTGCAACATTTTGATGCGGTGCATGAATCTACAATGAGGTGGTGAGGTAAATATTGGACATGCTTTATACTATAGTCTCATTCATCTAGTAAAAAAACATGGAATTTACAAAAACATGTCAGATTGGAGGACAATATCTGACTAAATACATGAATCAGACAATAAACTCATTCTATATCTTAACCCTTATTCATGAATAACCATTGTCCGTCTATCAGACTATCTGTCTATCATTTAACCTGACACCCCCCCCCCCCCCTCCTAAGCTTCAGTATTTCATGTAGAAGTACATCCCCAGTATAAAACACAAAATGGTCATAATGAACATCTCAGAAATCCTTTTGTACCTCTCGTAGCTTTCATAATAAATTTCAGACCTTTCCATGAAAAAGAAATATTTTTGTCATAGAAAGATTCCAATAGGTTCTACAAACTTCCTATGAACCCGACATTGAAAGCCCTTTCAACACTGTGATATAAATGACCATTTACTTTCATAATGTTTTTGTTTTATTATAATCTATCTTTTCTCTATTTTTTTTTTTTTAGGGGGGGGGGGGGGTGGAGGCTGTTGATTTGTCCAGTCTAGAATACATGTAGCTGCCTAAAAACCCAGCTTATAGTACTGCATATCTTATTAAGTATGTCCATATATGACTATTAGTTGATTATCTGGCCTTCAAACACAGAGTAAAATTAGAAAGAAGTTAGAACACAAATATGAATAAGACACTACGTCTCTCATGCCCTTATGTCACAATGCAGTCCATTGACACATCAACAATACAGATGTGTGTTCTCTACACCATACAACATGGGTATCTTAGATGTGGAGTTTACTTAAGATAGGTGCTATGGCAGGCAGGGTATTACAACCAATGCTGATTTGCCATCACTGCTTTCACTTTTGTTAACTGAAAAATCAACTTTTAAGGAGGCATTACGGTAAGTTCCTTAAGTATAAAATTGCAGAAAAAGAAGATAACTTTCATTTTTCTCATATCTCTCTGTTTCTTCAATATATGTTCAAGTCTTTATCAGAGACAGTATTAACCAGTACAAAGCTGACATCTGTTATATTCAAAATAGAACTTCACTAAAAGGAGAAATCTAAAAAATATCATATTCATATTTGTCATCTATTCTACATGAAATATTGATGGGAAAATGTGAGCATTTGAAATATCTTGATTTGAAAAAAAAACATCTTTCTCTTTTATTCTGAACTCCATTATCTGCTTTCATAGACTCTTGTTCTCAGTCTGCGAAGGATACACAAACCCTAAACAGACCATAAACCTAAATTTTGTAATCCTTTCCTTTTCACTTGAAAATATTGAGCATGAAACTTGATTGATCAACCCCTTTAACCTTGTTTCCTTCTGGACAGGACAGACATGAAACGGACTACTTACCTCCTTTCGTTTCATGTCATATAGAGTAAATGGATGAAAGTAACAAAAAGACTTATCAACACCAGGAAATTTAGATTAAGAAGACAATGAAGTACAGTGAAACCTGCTTTAGTGACCACCTGTGTAGAAAGACCACCTGCCTATAAAGACCGCTTTTCATGTCTCCCTTGAGTGGTCTTTATTTACAGGTTTCACTGTACATGTTATTGGCATGCACAATGGGTATGATAAGTGGATGGTGTGATGTCAACAATTAACCCAAATAATAGCCTAACCCTTCTTCATGGAGAAGAATGTTCAAATACTACCAGCTCTTATTAGACTTTGATGAATAAAAACATTTTATGACCCTAACCTGTTATGGATGACAGACATTGACTCACAGAGTTAGTCATAAAATAATGGATTGGCCAAAGAATTCCATGACAAAAATGAAAGATAATGGTTACTGGAAAAAAAGCCAAATCAATCTATAGTTTGAAATATACTCAAGATATCTGGATATCATGCCTTTTTAGGGCAATCAAAGTCTTATAGAACAGACAATCCTTTTTTCCAAAGTATACTCATATGAACATCATGAAATGTGATATTATCGAAAAAGAAAAGAAAGGCTTAAGTTACATGAAATTGATACAGCATGCAACGGTATGTAGGCCTACCTGTCGAAAGAGAGTTAGCTTTCTTACTGGTCGGTGGTGAGGAATTCGAAGAATGTGTAGACAGCGACGATTGAGAACTTATAGACTCATGACTACTGCTACTGCTGTACTGTGCTTCAACTGTTTAACAGTAGGATTAGGGAGGGGAGTATAAAGAATGTCATCAAAATAAGAGACAAATAGTAAAATATTGTCAGAGATATATATAGAGCAATTTACAAGACAGATTTTCAGCATGCATACTATGCACTAGCATCAGGAGCATAGCGAAGTATCATCTTCAGATTTTCATCTTGCAAAATGCTTAGCATTATCTAAAACTACAATCATTTGTAACATAAGTTTTATCACAATGCATAACTTATCGATCAGTAAAGTACACCCAAAATAAATTTACATTTGTCCCCTTTGTTTTGGGGATGCTTATTTACAAAAAGAAATATTCCCTTCTAGTCAGCCATGATGGTGCTCCTGAAACCCCTTTCCAAATACACAAGCCATGCACTTCTTTTAGGCTTCTAATTCTCTTCAAACAAGCTTTGCTTGATGGTTTATAATCAATACAAGTGTGCACTATATGAAAATTGACATAATCCCAGTATTACATAATAAAATCCTTTTTTCCTGTCGTCAAATACTCAATTCTATATGAATCAATTGCCTAACAATCAATACTTCTTTTGCGAAAGTAAAAAGAATATATATAAATATGAAATGTCTGGTATGGAATGAAGGGAAGACATGTGTTGGGATAGCTAATGATTCTTTCTACTTCTCTCAATTTCTCTCCCCAATGACCAACACATTGATATGGATTCTTTATCATGCAAGAACTTTATAGAATGAATCCACTAGACTCGTTGTGGCATAATGTTCTTTACATTACGCAGGATGTTGGTGGTACAGTACTGTTGACTATGTTTAAATGATACATGAACCATTTGCTTTGTATATATGTTCATCAGCACCATTCAAAGACATAAATAATGATTAATGACATCAGGGCAGAATCTGATCACTAATTTGTCAAAGTTATCTTTTTATCAATACAACTATTTCAAAGTGATTACAAGAATTCTTTTAACAAAATCAGAAGATCATGGCATTCCTTGAACCCCTAATTTAAGTCATACAGCTTTTCTTTTCTTTTCTTCTAAATATTGAAAACCTTTTAGCATCCAATTAAACAAAGATACATCTTACTCCTCAAAGAATTATAATAAAATAACAAATCAAACCCTTCTTTTCAATACTTAATGTACTGGTATGCAGCCAAGTTTTTGTGCTATGCTATTTGTAAGGGTTATAATCATTTTCTGTGCAGTCAGTATGAGGGCAGGGGTCATGAGCTGCTTTTTCAAGGGGGCTCTCTGGGAGAGGGCTAGATGGGGGCGATGAAGGGGTTGGGAAAGGATGATGGATGCTCCCCACCCGCTCTATCAAAATCATGTCTTTACAAAAGAAATCAATCAATCAATCAATTGCTGCCATTCATTTCAATAAACCATAGGATTCGAGTCACAGGGAATTGATAATATATATATTTGGTAGACTGGAGATGAAGTCAATATATAAGCCCAAATAGATTTACTTTAACATTTATGTACTATTTTAAGTCTATCATCAAAATATACAGCATATAAGTTTATCAAGATTATGTATATAAAAAACTTAAATAGAAGTAGACCCTATACGATTATTATGCTTTGATTTGGACAGACTACTCAAGTCCATTTGAAAATTTCTTCCATTTCTTTATCTATTACAAGTCCTGCAACAATTTTGCCATGAAAGACAAAAATCTGATTTAAAAATAACCTCAGATTCCCAAAATTCTCGAGTAAGAAATATCTAAAAAGACAAAAAATGATACATTAAAACTAGACTAAAGCATCAGTTTGTCATTGTTTTTAGATTCTCATCTCTAATCAAGTAGGAAATTATCCACTACATGATTGGGTATGAAATTAGATTATCCAGCTAAACCCAATCTTATGATAAATGACATCAAGTCATAGAGGGAGGCTCTTCTATCAGACTTCAATTCAATCTGTTTGGAGAATATGGGCAGAAAGAGAGCAGTATACTCTCCCAATCACACACAAAACTCTTTAAAATGGTGTATTATTGGAAGAAAAATATTGCCCTCATGGGGGGAATAAGTTCTGTGATAACGTTTTGGTCAGAACTATAGTGTATTGAGAGAGATAGTTATGACATGCGCATGTGTACTAAAAGGCACTGTCACAACTATCTCTCTCAATATGCTATGGTCTGAGCTCTAGGTGCGACTAGTGATAGGGTGTGGAACAGGATCGCCTACGATCTGAGAGTTAGAACACTGATGAAACTATTCTAGGCTACACTGAACAGGGGTGGGGTCAGTCACAGGTAACACAATTTGAACCCGATCGACCATTCCCACAGTCAGATGGGTTCGTTCTACACCGACGAAAGAAATGTTATGAACACCCCCTATCAGTGTGAGATGGACGATAAACTAGGCTATAATGAATACATCTAACCCTTCAGGTTAATTCTGCGCACTGACAACGTAGGAATGGCTATTATCCAAATTGTAGACCTGAAATTTGTATTCCATCTGATCTATTTTATTTTCCCCTCTAAACAAACCATAAATTCCACTTTTAGTACCTACAAAGTGCTTTTTATATATTATATATTTGCATTTTTATAAGCAAAGAGAATAAAACACTGTCCAAAGATAATTTGTTTCTTTATCTTAATTGCGATAGGAAAGGTAGATTATAATAAAGCTGATTGAGGAGTGACTAGAAATATTGCTAGCAGGTGGAATACAATTTCAGGCATGAGCCAATGACTTAGTAGGCCTCACACTGGCATCATGTGACAGGACTAGACCGACTGGGGGAACACACATATAATGACAAAGCCAAGTTTGTGAAGCGTGGTGGCGGGTAAGACCTGGATTAATGATGACTATGAGATTAGTTAATCCCCTCGCGAACCTCAGCAATGGATTAGTGACACCCAAAGCCATAGCCCCTTCCTGATGAGATAGCATCTCACCAAGGAGACTAAACATATATATATATATATATATATATATATATATATATATATATATATCCATCTTTCTCTCTTCAATTCAGTGCTGCATATATGAATGGAAAATACAAGGGGAAAAAATTAAGTAAATAATATTCAGTACTCGTATGGGGCATATCAAATCATGGTTTTAATGTCTCTATATGCTTCCAAAAGACCCTGGATTATTACTCCGGCTGTATCTAATTAATGACCCATACAAATATATCTCAGCCTTGATTTTAGAATACAATTCAAATAGAAAAACTAATACCGTAGGTGTTTTTTTTTTATTAATGATCTTTATGTCACGAGAAATACATATTATGCAACAAAACTGATGAAGGAGAAAAAACGGATATATATATGCAGAAATGTTGCTATGATAAATGGTAGACAGCTGTTGCTATGATGATGGTGGTGGCATTGGTGGTGGTGGTGGTAGTGCATAGTGGTAGTATAGGAACTTGTGGTGGCTAAACTAAATTGACAGACATAACAGACGCACAGCAATTTCTGGCTTGACAAAGCATAGGGTCACACATACAGGGGGATCACAAACATCATGCAGGAGAGAAAGCTACATACATAAGGCCACAGGTAGGAAGGAAGGGATACAGGGAAACAACACAGAGATAAAGCATGAGCATTAGACATAGAGAAAGGAGGATGCAACATTGGACGAGGACTTAGCAGAACATAGATCAAATCTGGAACAAAACCAAAGAAGAAACATTAAAAAGAGAGAAAATCATAAACACAAAATGGAACAGAAACACACTGCAAATCATAACACACCAACAGAAATTAAATCAAGGGTCTTACATTAAGCTAACATCGCTTTCTCGTGAGAATGTATCAGAAAGTTTTGAATTCTTTTTTGAAAGTGAAAAACTCATTTCCTAATTAAAGAAGGCTTAGTAAAAGTTGCAAAATTACTATTCCTTTTGTAGTCTCGTTAAAAATTTTGACCCAATCCCATCAACAAAAAGACTTCTTTTACAAGCACCATTTTTTAATGTTAATTAAGATGAATCATCACTGTAAAATATCTTTGGATAGGTTACTTTTTCATACTAGTTCCAAATAGTAAGTATTTTCCATTCATTTAAAACTTGCCGTACAATATAAGCTCTCCTGAAAAGTGGTAAATATTGGTTTCAGATATTGTTTATATTGCCTAGAATAAGATCTGAAGGTATTTCTTCTGCCATTTTAGGAAGAGTTGTGGAAATCAACAAATTAAAAACAATCAAAGCACTTGGATCTGATGAAGAAATTTCTTTAAAAGTATAGCATTATTATTTCAAAACTAAATAAAGCAAGGGAAGATGAATGCTGAGATGAAATTAAATTATAAATGTGATGAATGAAATCCTAGATTTACTCAATTTACTTGAATTACATCGACTATAAAATTAATTCTATACTTTAAATGTTTCTTAAATTCCAAATACTATTTTTCCAATAGTTTTAGAGCTTTTAAATCTGGGTATATGACAGACTACACTGGGATACACAAACGAACCACATGCAGGCATTCACCACAACACATACCCAGGCTGCATGCATATCAACAAATCCAAACAATATTCAGCATGAGAGCAATGGTGTTGAGCTTTAAAACCGCATAATTCCAATGTTTCTGATCAAAAGTATGATTCAAAGTAAATTCAGAGAAAGCTGGTGGAGCAAAGTTGAAAGATTTGATTGGAAGCATTTTATTCGCTGAAAGTTCATTTCAAGATGGAGTTTCTGTTGTTGCATGGGAAGGATTAGAGAAATCTATGTATATGTCATGTTCATTTACTCTTACATGTACTTTGAGACTGTATACAATGTTTTAAATTTTGAAAAGCAAAGGATGATCAAGTTTTTCAAAAGTGTGTCTAAATTTGTTGTCCATTAAGCTGAATAAATATTAAAGATTGATCAAACTCCACCAAAAACAGAAATTGTATTCCACCTGCTGACAGAAATTTTAATGAAGAGAAAAAGAGTGGTTCAGTGAAAAGAGTAATTTTTTGTGGAAAAAAAGACATTTCTTTTTTGTCCAAAGTCTGATTTTCAAAATGATTTGAAGAAATTGATGCAGCATGAAACAAAATGTGCTCTCATGAAGAAATATTGTATAGCATTTTTGACATGTACCTGGTTTGCCCTGCATAACCCATGAAGGAAGACTCTTCCTACGAGGCTTGCGGAGGACCACACCTTCTCTACCACAGGGTGCACCACTACAACCACCACTATTACTACTACCACCACCACCACCACCACTACTACCATCCACATCAACTGGTCTACCACCATCATGGTGTGTAGCAACATGACTGTTAGTGATCCCAGACACCGCTTTGGAGGCCTTGCGATCAGGTTTAGGTTTAGGTTTAGGTTTTTTCTGGAAGAAGCAGGCTAGTGAGGCGACAGAGGATGTAGGTCGGGGGATTTCCACCGCTTCGCTTCGCAAACCTGGCTTGTCTGGGCGAGGAGCCGACAGGAAGCGACGACGGAGCGCCGCCACCCGTCCCGATTCCAACAACATAGACTGTTCCCCCGATCGGTTGCCTTCCATGCCATGCTGCTCAGGAGGAGGATTCTTCATCACTGTTCCATACACTGGCATGTCTTTGGGGTGGTTTACATGGGGTGCTTTGTGAGGGCGATAGTTGACAACCTGACTGTAAATTGGAATATCACTGTGATTAGTGTCCGTGTTGTGATTGAAACTAGGTGAGATAGGACCCGAGATAGGACCCAGGCTGGGAGTGACACTACGTGGAAAAGAATCATTGCTATGGGTAGGTGATATTGGTTGGGGAGTCCTAGACCGATATGTCACAGGTGGGGGAGACTTTGGCTTCGGTGAGACAGGTGGAGGGGAATGCATGGGTTTGGTATAGAACATGCTATTGCCTGTTGTCCTGAAAGGTGGGGCACGTGGAAGGGTCTGTGTCACGCCCCCATTGTTCCCATTGTGCAGGTGCGTGGCATTATTATTGGCCCGATTGGCACTGTCCGTCCTCCTCAACCTAATATTCCACTTGTTCTTATTGGTTTCACCTGGTCTTCTAGGAGACGGTTCCCGTGACACTGTACTACCGGTGCTATCTGTAGGAGTCGCCTGTCTTCCATCTTTAGGAGTGGAGTTGGGTGTGGCATGCCTCGGTGATGCCCTCGATGATGAGGATGCACTTGAGGAGGAGGAGATGGAGGAAGAGGCTGAATTGGGGAAGTTGGTGGTAGGTGTCCTGGTTGACAGGGCTGGAGGCAAACCATCTGGAGTGGTCTTGAAGATCTGAGAAAGAATTAGGATTCAAACAGATTAACAATCAGAATGTACCATAAGAAACAAAAATCATGCCTGCATTTGAAATTGCTATCAAAGCTGGTAAGGACTATCCCAGAATTTTATCTTAATATAGCATTTGAACATTTAACATTTTTGGAACAGATAGATCAGGACAGCATTTTACAAAACTGTATAGATTCATGGACATCACATTGAAACACAGGAAAGTATTAAAATTACAATTGTTTCAATTAAATATTGGCGATCTTGTAATTGTGACTATTTCATGTTGCCCGAAACACCAATGCTGATATAGAGCATCAAAAATATCAAGCCATTGATCTCTTTAATATTATCAACCCCACTAGAGTTAACTGAAAACAGTAAATAGCTTGACAAAATATTGTAACAAGAGACAAAGGTACAACAAATATCTTCTATTAGAGGTGTTGTGGTCGAGTGGATACGTCGCCGGACTGTCGATCACAAGGTCCGCAGTTCGAGTCCCGCCGCTGCACTAATGTCCTTTGGCAAGACATTGATCGACATTTGACACACTCCACCCAGGTGAAGTAAATGGGTACCTGGTAGGAATTTATTCCTTGAAACGCAGCGCGCGTAACAGCTGCACTGCTAAAGCAAGGGTAATTATGCTGCATTATTGTAGAGCGCTTAGAGACTTCTGACAAAGTAAGTGTTAGGCGCTATATAAGCACTGTAATTATTATTATTATTTCATCTAGGAAACAATGGATATGTTGGTGAAACCTTTTGATAGTTTGATATGAGAATCTCGATGATGATGTTGGAGAACTTGATTTCCATGATGGCTTTCATCGTCTCTTCTTCCGGTCTCATCAGGGTTGGGCCGAAGCATACGCCAAGGTTTGCTACCGTCATCAGGTTCTTTGCACAGTTACCTGCCACTCTGTGAACAAACCAGCATAAAATACAGCATAATCAGACTATCTGTGTGATTCTATTTCTACAATATCATCATAGAACAGTCAGAACCTTGTACATGTCACCACTCAAGTGCAGATGGCAAATACAGACAAGATTAAACAGCTAATAATGTTAAATATATTTACAATTTTTAATGTTATCATATTTACCAATTTTTTTTTCAAAATTAAGTTATAATTGTATAAAGTATAATTATTATTGTGCGAACCTACATCTAACAAGCTTTGCTTTCAAGTAGGTTCTTTTTTTCATTTGCTGTAATTAAACATTTTGCATTACAATGTCAAAGATATTTCAAATGTCATTTCTGTTATATCATTACATTTATTATTGTCTGTTATTGTTTATATTATGTGAAAAGAAATGAAAAATAAATTCCCTCTGTATAGAGCTACTACTACTACTACTACTACTACTACTACTACTACTACTACTACTACTACTACTACTACTACTACCAAATGTGATAATTACCGCTGATGTGCATAATAACACAATAAAGATTACATGTCTCATAAAGGTGGAGCAATACTTGGAGTTACAAGAATGAGAAAGAATAATGGAACACAGTCTGACCTGTTTAAATGACCTATGACCAGGTCAAGCATCTCAAAGTTGGGTTCTGGAAGTGTGTGTATGATGGCATGGATGTCATTCACTCTCAAGGTCTTCGACTCTTGCTCTAGAAAAAAAGAAAAAGAGAAGAAAGGCTCGTTTAGATATGGCGAGGTAAACCACTGCAAAAAATACACAGCACTTTTAAAACGTGTAAATTAATGGAAACTATGCACACTAAAGGTCCTGCGTGTGTAGGTAAAAAGATGGCAAAGGGTGAAAAATAAATAAAGCGAGTGCAATTTTTGTTGTTCTTCTTTCAAATTATAGTACAACCCTAGACCTAGGTCTTTTCTAACATACCGTAGTTTGTATTTATTAGTCACATGGCACAAGAATATTTTGTTTTACAAAACATAAGCAAAATAATGATTTTTAAAAAATATGAGGGAAAAATCATTTGAAAGATACATGGAAACAATATAAATAATTGGAGAAAAAAAAGAAATACCGTAAATGAATTACTTAAAATTAGTTTGTATTTTACCACATCTTTCAATATTTATATTTTCCTCTTTTATGCTTGTTATTGTTACTGTTCTTATTTGTTGACATCCTTTATTTATTCTATTGCATATGAACTGTAGTTGTTAATAGCATTAGTTTGATCCTGACATTGAGAATTTAGTATCGACTTACTTGCAGCTAACATCAGCTCCTCATGGTTCTTGTGCGTCATAAGAGGCTCCGGCAGGTTCCTGGATATTGGGGAAAAATATGAAATGATTATTTGAAAGAATCTTGACAAACATAGCTCATTTCATATGGTATTTCATTATGCTATTTCTACATTTTAATCCCTTTAAATATTACTTTGTGTTTTCATAGAGCAAAAAAGAGTACTGAGCTCGAGTGGATTTGGTCTAACTAAAGCCTTGACTAATATGTGGTCTAGCTTGACTGCATATGGTCCATAACCCCCCCCCCCCCTCCCATTCCAACCATTCAGACAAATATTTCAGTAAAAGACTTTCAACAAAAGGGGAAACAGCAGAGTTTGATAGAGATCTACAAAGATAAAGTACATTCTGTAGGCCTGTACAGCTTGAATTTGCTTCCTGAGTGCCATAATGATAAAGTATCATAACCACCCAATCTGTTGTAGTTAGTTACATGCAAACAAACAACAAATATGTTTGACCTGAAGTAGTTCTTGAGTGCACTAGTGATTGTTTTGATCTCCCATTCACCAGAGTCCGACAGATTCACGTTCTGAGGTTTCCTCTTATCTGTAAAAAACATTCATAAAAAGAACAAATCCATCTTGAAATTCATTCTCCAATTATAAATACAAGTTCCTAGGATTGTAAAGTGCTCATTGAGCTAGTACCTTCTCAAAAGTCATTCATTAAAAACATAATGCCAACATTCAATGTTGATGAATCAAATTTTGAAAACGCATATACTAAAGCACAGCATTTATATTCAAGTTTATTTGTTTCCACTTTATCGAAAATGACATAATTGAACATAATGTACATGGTAATAATTATAACTAAACATACAATATTGGAACTTAAATGATAAATAGATTGAAAAGGCTAAATAAAGTGGGGGATCTACTACATATGGTCATCATAAGTGATTACAACTAGAAAGAAATGCAAAGGAATGGGAAATGAAGCACAGGAAATATAAATTGATTGTATATTCTGAAATATACCCAAGACAATGCAATCTGGCTTTGCCTAGTAAATCAATATCAGAATATGCTCCTCCCTCCCCAAGAAAAAAAAAGCAGAACAGTACATCCTCTTGTCAGTATTGCAAAATATGCTTACCCAGTACATGCAAACTGGCAAAACAAAATATCTGTAAGTGCTATTCTAATTCTAAGCAATAATTAATGAAGAAAAGTAATGGGGTTAAATGATAGAGAAATAATAACTCACCTACTGACTTACCCTTACCTAGACAGACCGAGGTTAACCTTTGAACTTTGCTGCTGACCCCTACTACTCTGTACAGACCTTGGTCATCCAAACCTAACAAGAAACAATCACATATTAATAAGAATTCTGTCACTGACAGGCTCACATACGCTATAGATATAATGAATTTGTAATAACAGTATTACTAAAAATGAAATTTAAGTACCCGGTATACAAATTTCTGAATAGCTTGAAACTTAGGAGGAAAAATGTGCTTAACCCTATTTTAACTGGGCTATTTCAGACCAGGTTTTTACTGGGGTGGGGGTCAATTTGACCCCCCCTAAGATCTCGGCCGTTTCACCGCCGATCGCCGCAAAAATTTGCATGCATGTCAAGTGAAGTGTATAGAATACTATGGTAATTTCAAATTTTTGAAAAATTCACTCATTTGCATATTTATGGTAATTTATGCAAATAAGGTCATAAAATTCATATTTCGGCCCATAAATCATAGATTATTCACATTTAAGCATTCTTTTTCACTACATATATTTATTAGACCATTTGGAATAATAATACAACACAAAAAATCGGAAGAGCCAGGTTATTCCTTATGTTATCTATTGTTTTTATAATTTCTTATGTATTTCATTGTTTTTTTAACTTATGTATTTTAATGTTTTTGTTGTTTTATTTCATTTATAGCTACAATTCAACTATTTTGACCCCAAAACAAACATCTAAACTTTAAACAAGACTAAATAACCAATGTTTTATCTAATTTTAGGAAAAATGACTTATACATATGTTTTGTACACAAATCACGAAAATGAGCGATTTTCGGGCTGACATGCAAAGACAAAAGGTCACGCGACCTTGTAACCGTAGGTCCGATTTTCAAAAAAATCGTTTTAAAAGATGCGTAAGACTCGAAAGTAAAAAGTCATGAGAGGAAAATTTTATATCTGCCGCAGTTTCGGAGTAGTCGCGAAATTTCTACAGGGGGGGGGGGGGGGTCAAATTGACCCCCCCCCCCCAGTTAACGTAGGGTTAAATCATAAAAGTGTAGATTTTAGGTTGCATTTAAATTGACCCTGCACTAAGGTGCATACAGAAAACAAATCATGATTGTTCTATAGAAAAATCCAAAGATTATTCAAAATAGCTTTGACGAGATAACAATTTATGGTAAAAGGAATAAAAACGAGGAAAACAGAAAGAAAAGGAGAAGGAAAGGAGTAGAGGAGGAGAGGGAGGAGGGAGAGGGGAATAAAAGAGGAATTAAGAAGTTTTACCTCTACTCTCGATGGCTTCTATGCACTTCCTGATGAAGTGAAAACCAATGTCGTTGAGGAGATCTGAAAACAAAAACAAGACACATAAATTAATTAAAAGGTTCACCCGTAAATCCAAATAAAAGATGCAAATGTTTACGCACTTCTTGCTTCTAAACTATTATAAAACAATAATCCATTCTTTCTATCTTTCTATCCGTCTATAATTCTTCCTTTCATCTGCATTTGTACCAAATTAGCACAGTTCATATTTTTAAACATAAAAAACACCTTCCGATTGGAGTTTTTAAAATTGTTTTCTGAATTGCAAAACATTGAATAAGACCTGAGGGGTGTTTCACAAAGATCCTAAGTTGAACCTATATTTAGGGTTGATTTAACAATTGAAACTATTTTGTAAAAGTTATTTTAAAAGGCATAAAGTGTTGATTCAAATCATTCACATTTTCTATTGTCAAGGAGTTTTCATGTTCTTGATGTGAAATTTATGAAAAGTGTAAAATACTTATATTTTGCACTTTTGAATATGTTTTATTTCAAGGCTACAAATGGCTCTCCATAATGGTTTAGTCCAACTTCAAGATAAGTTCAATTTGAGATTTTTGTGAAATACCCCAGCAATGGTAACAAGTATAAATGCCTTCTTTGTGATTAGAATAAGAATACTTACTTTCATCTGAATTGGAGATCAGTGATGGATTTAAGTAGACCTACAAGTAGGAGAAAAATAAACAGAGATATATGAATAAAATGATACATTAAGCTTAGTTATTCCCAACCTTTCTCTTTCAATATCTTGATAGACTTTTCTGCCCCTATAATGTCATCTTATCTGTTACTTTATTTTCCTATTTTTCACTTCTCTTTCTCTTTTAACCTACATTTTTTAATAATAACACATTAAATTAAAAAAAAAATAATTAGAAGTCTTTTCTAAGCAAATTCATACCTCTTCTTTGCAGCCAGGATAACAAAGAAGCACAAATACACATTTTGGAATCAATGACGACTAAACCTAAAACCTACCATAAAAACCTCTATTGTTGTAAGATAGAGACTTACCGGTTCCTTGCCACCCATTGAACGCATCCATTGTGATCTCTCTTCCTCTGTGACAGCTTGGAAGGTTAATACGTTGGGTCTGAAAACAAATCATCAACAATCGCTTGTTCAAAATACTGTTATAGTGCAGGCTTACAAGAAGAATACAGAGACAAAATTACATTGATTTTCTACTAAGAGCCAGAAGAGCACTAACTTTATGTTGAAGTACATAAGCCAAGTCCTCCTTAGTCTCAGCAGACGAATTACAGTGATGTAGTTAAAGATAAACTTGGATTTCTGGTAAATATAGAAAATAAATTCTAACAGAATCCAACAAAACTTACACTGAATGTTCAAGATTACAAATAAATTACATTTGCCAAACAATTGGTAGAAAATGTATAACGTAGTGGCTGAGAAATGAGCATAGAAAAATGAGGAAATCCGGGTAAGTAGGCCTGACACTATGTGCGTAACACAGGTCACTATATGCAAATGAGAGTTGTGGTTTTAATTGAAGATGATGCACAGTAATTTTTGTGCGTTTGTTTTTATTTCACTGGTTCAAACAACCAAACTACTACGGGATAAATCATAGAAATTTCCTCTCAAACTATGATTCCCATACCAGAGCTCAAGATTAGCTTTAACTATATCCCCACCATGGACACCTAATCCAAAGCACCAATTGTAAAGTTGTACTATATGTTTTGACTATGAGACTCTCAAATAGCTATGGTTTACTTCCTGAAAGAAATAAAATGGGCAATGGTCCCACTGGAACCATGCACAATGAAACAAATAGTTAGCATGTACACTGTGACTCTCAACATTAAATAATCTATTCATATAAACTGATAGCATTTCATTGTCAAATCATTCAAATCAATCTATTGTCATACTTACTTTTCCATGACAGTGATGTCGAAGCAGAACCGCTTTTCTATCGACTCTGACATTCTTCTGCAAAACAATACAACACAAAAGTCAGTTAACGATCATTTCAAGCCTAGGTAATCAACAGCAGGAATAAAATATCCCTTTGCTCATTTCCGGCATGCATTTACTACTGTTAGAGTATAATCTGTGTACAAGTTTTCATTTGAATACACAATGTCTATAGGTAGATCATATTTACCGTTGGTCAATAGTGATGCATCTGTTTCTACATTGTTAGCCAGCCATAACTAAAACTGCCCACGTAAATGTCATGAATACAAACAAACAGCCAAATGTGTGGCTACCGATGAATAGTTCTGAAGTTTGATACCTAAAGTCCTAAACATCCCTTTTAAAGTAAACTGAACAGGAGAGAGTCACACAGTTTGCCTATTATCCATATTCTTCAATTAGAAGTTGATATGCTAATAATAATAATAATAATAACCTGGATTTATATAGCATTTAATACGGAATCCCGTCTCTAAGCAGTTTACAGATATTATTATCCCAGTCATCGGAATCAATCATGCACAATGTGCACCATCTCCACTCCCTGGGGAGTATTCCTACCATATGGTCAACGTGGGGGCATAGGTAATTACTAACACAAATGCTTACGTCATCCTACCGGGTCCCCATTTCTCTCTTGGGTGTTGAGTGGAAAATGTGGATTAATGCCTTGCCAAAGGACAAAGTGCCATGTTGGGGATCGAACCACGACCTTTGACTTTCAAGTCAAGTTCTTAAACCACTCGACTACGACACTTCTACAGGGACAATAACAATAACTATTTACTAAAAACTGTTTATATCATACCTTGTGCATGTTAGAACTGTTATGACTTCCTCTGAGGTCTGTGAAGCAAAAGCAGCAAAAAAGAGACAAAGTTATCACTTTGATCAGAGATTCAATCGCACATTGGTAAGGGTAACTGTCTTTAAACTGGAAGATTCAGGGTTCGAAACTATAGGGTGCTCGTACCCTTGCATAATACAGTCAAACCTGCTTTAATGACCACCTTTCTACAAAGATCACATTTTGTGCTTCCCTTGAAAATGGTTTCTCAATGAAACATGTACTAAAGGAACCTGTACATAAAGACCACCTGTCTACAAAGGCCACTTTTCTTGTCTCCCTTGGGTGGTCTTAATAGACAGGTTTCACTGTACATGTATGTCTATATCTCTGAAAGAAGATCTATTTCTCATTGTCTGTGCTGTGTTGAATGGCCCCACATTTGACTGAAGAGTCGTGAAACCCTTCCATTGGTCACTACCTCATCTGGCTGTGACAACAAACAAATCAAACGACAACTTTAAATGATCAAGAGAATAACATCATCATTGCTGCAATGAATGCTGGTGATTCTGTGGGCTAGAACACATCGTGATAGACATAGCGTGCCAGTCCATAGGAATTCATTTTACCCGCCATTCCCCCCCCCCCCCCCCCCCCCCCCCAAAAAAAAAGGAGAAGAAGAGAGAGAGAGAGAGAGATGTTTGAGAGGAAGATACTTACAACTTTTGGTAGGGTCTGTACATATTGTTGCATGATGAGTTTCTTGGATTCCTTGTGGTAGAGACAGTACTGTTTAATCCAACTGGAACCCAGTGCTCCTGCAACCAAAACAAGCATCAAAATCAATTTTTATTAAAAATGAATGCAGTTGAAAGAATTTACATAATTATTAAACCAGTGCTAAATATTTTAGAACCCTCGCTTTAGCTGAGCTTGCTCTAGCATTCAAAGAATGCCTTCCTGCAGGGTACCTGCTCACTTCACCTGGATGAAGAGTGGCAAATGTAGATTAAGATCTTGCTACAAAACATCATGGTGCATCTTCCATTAAAACCAACCTCAATAGTCTATCCAGATATTACATACTCTCCAGTACAGTCTATCTATATTGCGACTCATAAATTAGACTTGTTACTACTAGGTAGACTAGGATCTGGTCTGATCAAAGGACATCCTTGTAGTCCAGTTACCAACAACCTGTATCAGCCACCCATCCCATAAAAATAGCTATTTCATGAATAGGCCACTATATTGATCAAGCAGGATTAGACTATTAGTGGGAATATACCTTTCAAAAGCTAGCCTTCATAGAAACTCTTATGCACAGAGGAAAATATGTTTAAATTCTAAATCAAAGAATGTTAGAATCTCTTTGCTTCAACAGTCTAAAATATATCAGCTCCAGTCTAGAAATTGTTCAGCAAACTGCTAATCTATTTATTCTTTCATGACATTTCCTACATGTAAGTCTTAGACACATGCAAGGTCTTCTTTGAAATGATTTTCATAAGAAATCAATGAAGTATGAATACCTCTGCCAATAATGTTATCAAAACTTACGTTTTTCATACATAAATAGATAGCCTTCTTGCGTTGACTTGTTCTTCCTGTTTTCATGTGGTTTCTGTAGTAAAAACAAGAGATACATGATAAATTATAAATGACTTACAAAATTTGTAATGAACAACGGTTAACATTCAATATGAGTTTATCATTGCTGTAATCTAAAAATATATCTCAGTCATACTGCCAGACCAATAACTGGGAAAATGTTGATGATTTTATGTCTGGTTTATTATCAGTATGGTTTCAGTTTAGTTGCTCTGACTTGGGCATAACAAGTTAAATGATGTTTCAAGGTAATAACAAAAATATTATGATTTGGTTTATCTGTTTAATAGAGACAAACTTATGACTTACTTCCATCATCTTGTGCATGAGATTCTCCGCTTCTTCCTTCGTTGCATCAAAACCTGCCCGAATCTAAATGTGGTAAAATTAAAGAAATAATGTGTAAAATATTAAAAACAATGACAAGATAATAAAGTTGCTAATACATAAGCACATATACAATATACAAATATTTCTTGAGACACCCTATACCTCCTTGCATTGCCTCTCCATGTGATATATGGCTGTGCAATGTTTGGTAATGTATTCATCCTCAAGATAGTTCAAAGCATTCATTTCTTGAGACACCCTATACCTCCTTGCATTGCCTCTCCATGTGATGTATGGCTGTGCAATGTTTGGTAAAGTATTCATCCTCAAGATAGTTCAAAGCATTCATTTCTTGGGACACCCTATACCTCCTTGCATTGCCTCTCCATGTGATGTATGGCTGTGCAATGTTTGCTAATGTATTCATCCTCAAGATCGTTCAAAGCATTTATTTCTTGAGACACCCTATACCTCCTTGCATTGCCTCTGCATGTGATGTATGGCTAGGCAATGTTTGCTAATGTATTCATCCTCAAGATAGTTCAAAGCATTCGTTTCTTGAGACACCCTATACCTCCTTGCATTGCCTCTTCATGTGATGTATGGCTGTGCAATGTTTAGTAAAGTATTCACCCTCAAGATAGTTCAAAGCATTCATTTCTTGAGACACCCTATACCTCCTTGCATTGCCTCTTCATGTGATGTATGGCTGTGCAATGTTTGCTAAAGTATTCATCCTCAAGATAGTTCAAAGTATTCATTTCTTGAGACACCCTTTACCTCCTTGCATTGCCTCTCCATGTGATGTATGGCTGTGCAATGTTTAGTAAAGTATTCACCCTCAAGATAGTTCAAAGCATTCATTTCTTGAGACACCCTATACTTCCTTGCATTGCCTCTTCATGTGATGTATGGCTGTGCAATGTTTGCTAAAGTATTCATCCTCAAGATAGTTCAAAGCATTTATTTCTTGAGACACCCTATACCTCCTTGCATTGCCTCTTCATGTGATGTATGGCTGTGCAATGTTTTCTAATGTATTCATCCTCAAGATAGTTCAAAGCATTCGTTTCTTGAGACACCCTATACCTCCTTGCATTGCCTCTTCATGTGATGTATGGGTGTGCAATGTTTGGTAATGTATTCATCCTCAAGATAGTTCAAAGCATTCATTTCTTGAGACACCCTATACCTCCTTGCATTGCCTCTCCATGTGATGTATCGCTGTGCAATGTTTGCTAAAGTATTCATCCTCAAGATAGTTCAAAGCATTTATTTCTTGAGACACCCTATACCTCCTTGCATTGCCTCTTCATGTGATGTATGGCTGTGCAATGTTTGCTAAAGTATTCATCCTCAAGATAGTTCAAAGCATTCATTTCTTGAGACACCCTATACCTCCTTGCATTGCCTCTCCATGTGAGGTATGGCTAGGCAATGTTTGCTAATGTATTCATCCTCAAGATAGTTCAAAGCATTCATTTCTTGAGACACCCTATACCTCCTTGCATTGCCTCTCCATGTGATGTATGGCTAGCAATGTTTGCTAATGTATTCATCCTCAAGATCGTTCAAAGCATTTGTTTCTTGAGACACCCTATACCTCCTTGCATTGCCTCTCCATGTGATGTATGGCTAGCAATGTTTGCTAATGTATTCATCCTCAAGATCGTTCAAAGCATTTATTTCTTGAGACACCCTATACCTCCTTGCATTGCCTCTCCATGTGATGTATGGCTAGCAATGTTTGCTAATGTATTCATCCTCAAGACAGTTCAAAGCATTCGTTTCTTGAGACACCCTATACCTCCTTGCATTGCCTCTCCATGTGAGGTATGGCTAGGCAATGTTTGCTAATGTATTCATCCTCAAGATAGTTCAAAGCATTCATTTCTTGAGACACCCTATACCTCCTTGCATTGCCTCTCCATGTGATGTATGGCTGTGCAATGTTTGCTAATGTATTCTCGGGTGGCCATCTGAACTTGACTTTGCAAATATCAAGCTGCATTCCTCATGTATCAAATTGAGAAAATATGTTTGCACTCTTGGGTTGAGTCAGCTGTATCGCAGTATGTAGTGACCTATACAATGGACGGCCGTTATAAACATCAGCGTTGGGGATCTACAGTGTAGAGGAGATCTCTACACATAGCCTAGTTTCAATTCAAATTAATAACAGTTACAATAAATTCATCTGATCATTCAAAATTGTCTCAAACTGTAGCAATATTGAAATTACAGAGTGAATTTAATATCATCCAGGAACGTATAGAGAGTAAAGACATGATAAAACCTGAGATGCTGATGGGAGCTCGGGAAGAGATAACAAGATTAGATGTTCCTTTACTTACATTCTGTAATTTCAGCTGAAGCTCTGTCATGTACGGTTTGAACTCTCGTGACACTTCATGACCTAGATGCAAACATGAAACCAAGTATAAACACAGATCAGTATCAGCTTTCATTCATTTCCAGGTCAGAGGTCAGCCATGATCATGTCACAGGTCAGTCATGATCATGTTCAATCAGTAGAACAGGAGCCATTTGTAATAGACAACTGTCTACCTATCATCTTTAGCTCTCCTCTTAATCTATAACATGTACTCCCTGCCCCTCTTTCTCATTTATCATATTCTGTTCTTATTTTTAAAGAAACATCCTCCCCCTTTTCTCACCATCTTCACTTACAAATTATTCTAAATCATTTCTTATCATCTTTAGACATGTACATTCCCTATTCATTGGGGGGGGGGGGGGGCAGATAGTCAAACTGGTCTGTTTATCTCTGCAAAGATGATTTTCATACCATTTAGAATGTCAATCAACTTTATAGCACTCCATAAAATAAATGATGAATGGTATGATGACTAACTTACCTTGATGGTAGAATGTCAGCCAGCTGTACATGAATCCTAATAACTGTATAGGAGAAATGGCAATAAACAAGAAAAGCAATGGAAATACAATTGAAATACAATCATTATGTAACATATAAATATTCAATATGACAACGAACCTCACCAATGTGAGCAGTAAGAACTTGTTTGACCAAAACATTATTTTATCATTAATCTCTTGAATAAGATTTTTTTTAAATATATGCACTGAGAGCTAGGACTTATATTGTAATAATGAGTAACTTTACTAAACTAAACCTTCCCCCACAAAAAGAGGTGCTGGGAAGTCCAATCCTTTAACACTGAATATTGAAATTTCTTTGATGATTATAGTCTCCATATTCTGTTTCATAAATTCCATATTCAAGTAGTCCATATTATGAGAAAACACCTGCCAAAAATTAAGAGATATTCATATCTTACAAAAACACATCCTTTAAAACTCTTCACCAAGCTCTTTAAGAGAAAAAAATACTGCAGTACTTTAATGTAAAGGATGTGACTCCTACAGTGAAGGTTAATGTAACACTGCTGGTATTCTTAAATGTGAATTGCTAGAGCTTACACCAGGAAAGAAAGAGGAAATATCATGTGATATTATGATACCTTAACATCAAAATGTTCATGAAAAATGAATCCTGGATCCTGATAACTTAAAGGGATCCGGTAACTTTGTCTCAGATTCTGAAACCAAATCCTGGATTTAGCTCATGCTGCAATGATAATTAGAAACCTTTAGGTCAGTCAGGATCCCCATGACTTTTACAAGCGGATCACCTGTCTGATTATCAAGACAGTTATGATTGGAATTACAAAGTTTGCACTACAGTTGGGGGAAACGAGTATGGTAAAACCGGTCACTTAAAGATTTTCACTTTTTTGAGGCACTTCTTGATCATTTTGAAGCGCAATTTTTTTAGGGCTTCAATAATACACCATATCACAGACACTGATAACACGTAGGGTCATGTATCTCATATTTTACATTGTTAAACGATCCCTTTAAATTGATCCGCTTCATAGACTTGAAATCTTGCCTAATATCGATTTTACGAATGTTTATCCGATGGCCTTTTCTCTTTGATTATTGATCTGCAAGTTTGAAACCTAAGACAGGATCTAATATATCGTGTCCTTCGAACTTGATTCCAAAGGTATGAATTATCAACATTATGCTGGTATCATACAAAGCAACTGAACACCAAATTGAGAACTTCGCAACACATAAGTTCCAAAAATATATTGTATATTATCCTTGGATAATAAAATGTTTTTCATAATTCTGTTTTTTATATCCATTCAAAGTTCAAATGAATCTCTATTCAAATTATTCAAATCCTAATACCCGAAATATGTATACCTTCAGGGGCATCAATACAGAAGGCATGATCTCAATTCCATTTGTGATTGTATTCATTATGAATTATTCCCATACAATATGAAGCCACGTATGAGTAGGGCAGATCTTTGCTGCCTTATTGTATGATGGAGGGAAAATTGAGAATACGCTTCTTTTATATTTTGAGGGCCAGTTGTAACAGTCTAAACTGCGTACCTCGATTCCAAATACAGTGCCTATTGTCAGCTGGCTATATATTTCAATGCAGATGAAATATTTCTCCTTGTACATTGAAATGTATTGTGAGAGGCTGAATTAACACATTTGTACCATATTCAGAGGTTCATCAATTTCAAGAATTTTGGAAATTGATTTCAGAGTCAATGGATTCAGTTGGTTATTCAATGCTTATTATCCTTTCCCCACAGATGGTTAAAGGCATCGTTTAACAATGTTAAATCTGAGATGCATGGTCCTACATGGTATCAGTGTCTGTGGTATGGTGTAATATTAAAGCCCTAAAAAAATTGCTCTTCAAAATGATCATGAAGTGCCTCAAGAAAGTAACAATCTTTGAGTGACCGGTTTTACCATACTCATTTTCCCCAATAGACTGTAGTGTTATCAAAACCGTTAGGAAAACGCAAAATGAAATTTCGATTTTCAATCATAAATATCTTGATAATCAGACAGGTGATCAGCTTGAAAAAGTCATGTGGTTCCTGACTGACCTAAAGGTTTATAATTATCATTGCAGCATGCGCTAAATCCAGGATTTTGTTTCAGAATCTGAGACAAAGTTACAGATCCCTTTAAACAGACAAAATGAATGTGACTCTTTTTCTTCTCTTCTTCCATTGTTAATCTTCAATTGGCTATGCAGCCTATCACAAAGATCTGTAGGAAGATTACCAGCTTTGACTCAACCAATAAAATCAATATATTCAGTCAACACCCCTCATTAGCAATTGTTTGTAAATGAACATGTACACATTGTTCAATCTTATCCCTCAATTTCCCAACAGGAAATATAAAAATGAAACAGTGGACCAGAATCATTAATGTATCACATGAACATTATACTATTTGTAGACTAGGCGTTACAATCAAGACCAAAGTGCATTTGATACAAGAGACAACATTCACAAGAAATCTTCTTCGCCCAGTAATGTACAAAGCAATCTTTGTGACATAGCCTCTTGAACTATCTATCACGCTATAAAACTTACCGTTTCAACAAACTCAAACTTCTTCTTCTCTTGTACTTGTTGCATTTTGAAGACATAGCAGAGGGAATCTTTATGGAACTGTCTCCTCTCCATGTCAAGTGTAGCATCAGCCTACAGACAAAATAAAAATTTGAAGGAAAAAAAAATGGAATTGATCATTTATGACATACTAGATCTCATGGATGTGTATAGGTCAAACTGGGAGAGATACTTCTAGAGAAAGTTCCATAAGTTTCCCAGCAGAGGTGATGTAGAAACAAGAAACCATCATCATCACCACCATACAGGCTTCTATTTGTTTTCAGGCTATTCATTTACTTCTTTCTTTTCCTCTAAAACGATATCTCTCTTTACAAAGATTCTATCCATTTTTTAAATTTTTTTTTATTAACATTTTCTAAATGATGACAAGTACATTAATGAAGAAATGGCAGAAGAAATGTAAAATGTTTTCATTACATATGGACTTTTCAAGCAAGTATAATGACATAAGCAGTCTTTAAAAAAAAAAAAGTTGAATAAGTCATTGAAATAACATTTACATCATACAGGAGAAAGAGTAGAAGTTATATGAGGTTGAACATGAATCTATAAAAATCATAAGCTTGTCAACATCTTTCCATTCAAATAGCTCACTGATTTCATATTAAAAATATTGTCAAATTCTTTATCGTCACAGAAATGCCAGAAATGTTTTAATCACATCAGTGACGCAAGATTTATCTCAGAGAATTAACATTCTGATACAATGACATCACCAAAATATATTAATCTGTAGAGATTGTTTGAATAATGCATAGTTCTCACAACAGTCATCATTCAAGAATTAGAACACAGCCACTTCAAAACAAGATAATACCCTCTTAAAGGTAAAGACCAGTATTGGAAACGCCCCAATTTCAAAAAATGAAATGGAAGCTCTCATTACCAATCATGTGAAAGAATATGTTTTGACTACTACATGATGATAAAAAATTTGCCGGGAAACCGCCTACTAATTCATATATTTGGTAAATTTGTTTCTCTCATGGTCTGTGAGAGATATAGGGTAGTCCCATATACATCTTTCTGTGTATAGTGCTTGTAACTTTACGAAGAATGGGCCAAATTTCTTATCATTTTGATGATTCCAGAGCCTTGCAGATGCTAGATGCTAGATGATCAACCTTTTCTGATCGATTCCACAACGTTTCTTTCACAATGCAATCGCATGACCATAACTGGTCTTTACCTTTAACATTTCACAGTATGTTTCCTAATCTGTCTGCTCAGGAAAACATGTGATTATATTCCCATCATTTAATCTGCGTAATTACGACATGAATTCCAATCTTAATTACTTTCTGCTCCATATGACATCCATTATCATTCTATTGTGATCAATATGTTTCAATATCCATGGATATCTAATTGTGTGTGATAATCTCCCCTCTGTTAACGACCTAAATTGAGCTATTTTTTTAAACATTTTGTGTGTGGGAAAACACGTTTCTTTCATTACTCTAGATTGGATGTTTGTCCCATGACATAGCCACCTTCCACTTTCATTCCAAAATGAAAGCAATTTATGACCAGCTGTGGTTATTTTCTTGGAATATCATTTCTCCTCTGATCCAATTTCCTTCTCAGTCCAAACATAATCTATATTTATTGTGTTTTAGTGTTTCTTTTCATCAATTTCATCATTCCATCAATCTTCCCCATCATGTTACTGTGTAATTTTTTGCTAGTTTCATGAACTCTACATGTGCACATAGGTTTAAGCCTATGTGCTTTAATACACGAGAAGTGACGGTTTGCAAGACAAGTTCAAATTATGGCTTGCAGCAGAACAATTACAGAAACAGAAGGTGATTTCACACTGGAAAGCTTCAAAAGAGCTTTGGAAAAGAAAAAGAACTTTCAAAAACAAACAAATAATTTCAAAAGAAATCTCTCACTTTTTATTAAGAGGAAAAACCCAATAAGACCTCGAAAAAATATAAACACAGATTAATATCAATGATACTTCCAATTACAGAGGACCAAAATTCTAAATCGACTGACATCATTTTCCAAGAAAAAAAATCTAAACCAGCTTTCGAAACCCCTGGAATCAAGCTAAAATCACAGCATATCTTCACAATCATCTGTTCTACAATTCCATTTCTTTTCACCCTTTCTTTCAATGATTTATAACATAAGGTGCAAAAACGTTTTTTTATTCCATCAGTAAAATTGATGATAGAGTATTAACATAGAATAAGGGATTTCCCCTGTTTGACTGAATACCTTGAATTGGATAGAGGGAGTAGCAAAGAAGTACCTGGGGAAAGATCAGGGTTGAGCTATGAAGGGGCGAACACAGAGATAATTAGGGAATAACTACGTCAACTATGACGCAAGCTTTTCTATATACTAAGGATCTGATGGAAAAGGATGCTAGCAAACCACGTTTTCCAGAGATTGAAATGCATGACATATTTTTATGCTTCCCCCTTTCAATTAAAAGGGGGAAAAATTAAGTTGTGAAGTCATTTGATTAACAAACTTATAGTCTTAATGTAAATGTACATAAGAAAAGTAGCAAACTACAAGGTATTTGTGCAGTGTTTTTCTTCTTTGAAAAAAGAAAATCACATTGAGAATTAAACGTTAAGCCAGCAGCCACAAATACCATGAAGCATTAGGGACTTCAATCATTAAGGATGAATTCAATCCTCCACATTAATGTTTGAATGAAATTTGTATTTTAAAAAAATTATAAGGAGAAGAAAAAAAAAAAAATTGTGTGCGAAATTTACAGTTGAGCTAATGTCACAATAGTATGTTTCACACAACCCAAGTTTGCATATTTTACAACTAACACAGATAACAATAAATGCCCCCATCCTCCTTCGTAAGAAATCAGCAGATGACCTTTCCCATTAAATAGAGGGTATGCATCATAAATACCTCTGAAGGTAAGAAGGGAGTTGTTTACATCCCATGCTCATATAACAAGAGCTTTAAAGGTATAATGGAGGTGTCAGCATTCCCATTATTAATTATTCTATCCCATTGCACAAAATACCCCCCCCCCCTCCAGTATTGTACACGCAGATTTCACTTTATACATGTAGTTGTAATTCTCTTCTGTTTGCTGGGTCACAAAACTATTGCAGTCTCCCACCATTATCATCACAGATCTGTAACTAGGACTTTAGTAGGGGGCAGACATTATGTGAGGTGGACCCTTTTGAAAGAGGGTTTGGGAGGGGGAGTCCCCCTTCCCAGGGTAGGGGGGGGGGGGGGTGAGTGCACACGATAATAGTATTAGCTGGAAAGAAAGACATATTTTAAACATCAGAACATCATTCATCTCTCCATGTGGTGAGATTTGACAGCAATCCGAATGTGCCTGCTCTTACCGGTAGGTCTACATTTACCTAACATCCTCCAGAACTGAATGTTCTAAATACCTAACACGTTTCCCCTGCAGTGGGGTAGGAGGATAAAGCACCTTGACACCACAGGAATGTCATCAAGTGGGACTGAGGCAGCTTTAAAGAAGTGATCAAAACAAATGATGGTAATAGGCGTTGCTTAACGAGCGTTCCTTTTACTCAATACAATCATGAGGCTACACATTTAGAAGTGTATGATACAGGGAAATGAAACTACAATGTATTTTCAAAACTATTTCAAATCCCTATTTAAATGCAAGGGCTACACTTCATCATTTACTTTCTATCTCAATTTTTGCCTACCCCCTCCCCCCCCCCCCAAAAAAAACAACAACAACTACAAAAAAACTGTTCACAGGTTTTATTCTGATGAAGGTTTACTTGCTTGAAGGCTTGAAACATCTCTCCAACAAAATAAATCATCCAGTGGAGAAGGGAAGGAACTTTTCTAATTTTAGAAGAAAGAAAATAGCTGTCCTAAGAATGAAAACACCAAGGCTATTTAGAGGCCAACTAGAGCTATTTCAGAAGTTCAAGACTGCCTGAGCCTCCGTCAGTGTACTTAAAAAAAGAATCTTCATAGGATCATATCATCTGCTGATAGCTAGAAGGACATTAACTCATACCATTTAATAAGGGGTTAATGCCCTTCTGGCTCTTCACAGGTAATACGTCTCAACATCACAAGGTACACAAAAACAATGGCTAGTTTCCTCCCCACCAGGTGTCTTGCCAGGTTGATAAACAATGAGGCCCCTATTTCTTACACCTAGCCTAAAATAAGTCCACTGATTTATGGAGTGCAAAGTGCCAACCTTTTTTTTTCTTTGATTAAATTACTCCAATTCTGTAACAGAATGAATGAATGAAATGTCTAATTGGAAAGAAGTGATATATTGATTCCATTATGATACAACTTTTGTTCATTCATTTAGAAGAATAACTGTAATATTTACAAGATAAAAGGTCATCCATCACTTGGCACTCCATAAATTAAAGGGCAAAGGATAACCACTTATTCAGTTTTTAAACCTGGACTTCATTTAGTAAATTTTAATGAAAATTGGCCTGGGAATGTTATAACTGTATGTTTTGAAACTGAACATATGCAAGTCCTTTCCTCTAGCCTCTTCATGAAAGGTCACAGGCATCATGTGAAGATCAAGAAAGATTGATGTCCTGAAAAAATTAAGCAGAAAATATGTTACATCCAAACATCCTCATGCTGAGAGCACAAAAACATGATCTTAAAGCACATCCTACCCTGCCCTGCCTCTCTGGCTTCTTCAAAACAAACAGCATGTGATATCTACGCTAATCATAGAAATCCTTGGGATAGATCTCGACCAGAAATCAAATCTTCATAAATAGAAAATATCTAGGTTACAACTTTCGATTCATGGCAATCTTTTCCCTGAAGAAACTAGATTGTCTATTTTACATACATGCGTCTTCATGGTGAGGATCGGTCCTAGAGTGATCATCGCCACGTCCTGTAATTACAGGATCATTATTGGAATAATCAATAGCTGGTATTTTTCTGATCAATTCCACCTGATGCAAATTTAATGATGACTCTATCCCAATGCTAGCAAAAGTCATAAATACATCTATCTAAGGGCGTGTTTATGCTTAACTTTTTCTGGCCAGAATCAGGCATCTGTTACGCGTTTAGTTTAAAACACG